GCCTCACTTCCACTGTCTTTCCTCATAAGCTTCCACTTCCATTTGTATCGCCACCAGTGGGGAATGGTTTAGGGCTCACTCACACATTCTTCAGGGAATGACTGTACAAGGAATGTTAATGTCTTCTGATATTTTTTGGTCTCTTTCATTGTTTCTTCTTTTGGCTTTTACAAGGAAAAAAAAAAATCATCCCTGCCTCATCCTACCCCCACTCCAACACACACCCAACCCACACGCCCTATGGGACCTCTTTCTGCCCTTCTAATCCGGAAACCACTTTTAAAAAAAATGAGAAAAGAACTAAAAGACAGAATCCTGTCTCTCCTAGGGAGGAGGTTTTCAGTTGCTTGTGGTTGTTTTGAGGTGTCAAAGAGTTTGGGAGACTTTTGTCTTTTGTTTGACTCAAATCAAGCCATTCAGACAGCCACTTCTCCCCTTGACAGGTGCAGAGAATTCACCTGTTTTGAGACCACTTCCTGTGTGCTCTGCTGCTCTGGGTGGGGGGAACCTGGTTGCCCAGAGACTTGCAGTGCAGAACAATTTCTCTCCGCTTCCGGTCTCCTCCAGATGCTTAGCGAACAGGCAGTGAGCACAGCTCCAAGGTTCTCCAGGCAAGAGCAGAGGCCGGTGATTAAGTAGCCTGGTCCTTAGCTGTCTCCATCCCTGTTTGTCATAACTCTGCTATTTTGGTCCCTGTGACTTGTGGCTGCACCATGATTACGGTTTGATTACTATCACCAAAGCGACTAAAAGATGAAAATAGAAGCCACAACAGGAAATAAACAACTGCAGATGAGATATGTTATTCCGTATTCCCTGCCAGCAAATGATTAGAATCAAACTCATTCACAATAGTTGGGTGAACTTCTAAACTTTTATTTGAAAGGATCAGAAGAGTCTGAAATGGGGTGCTTGTGGGTCTCATTTGTGCCTGTGAGGGGAAAGAGGAACCCTCCCTTTCTAGGCATCCCAGCCAGGCAGCACTCTACTGCTGGCTGCTGGCTTCTGGCTTCTTTCTTGGAAAGGGAAGGAGTAAGAATGTGATGGGGTGGGGCTGGCTGTCAAGGCTGGGATGTTAACTGATTCAGGGGATGCCAGGGAACCATAAAGCACTGGCCATTGCAGCTACTTGCCCAATATCCCACCCACTTATACCTCAAGTAGTAAAATGGAGGAGGAAAGCTGTGTAGAGAGGGCAAAATAGGGGTGACGCCTGAATTAAAACACCTACAATTATACTAGATGGGAACATAGATCTGCAAGTATATGCATGTTCCATCCAGACAAGCAGTGACATCAGATTCAACTCCTGCAACACCCATTACACCTACCTGCCTTGTGTGTGTTCAGGCCTCTTATCACAAAGGATGTTAGCACCACTCACCACATTTCCAGGAGATTCTTCAGATTGTCCGTGTAGCCACAGGCCTTAATTAGAAAGATGACATTTGCTTTTTGGTTAATTCTTCCTGTTACTTTGTAGCCTGGCCTGGCCTCTCTCCTAGGATGGCCCTAGATCAGGGAGAGAAAATGGGACCCTGAGAGAGCAAGACACTTGCCCAGAAGGCCTTAGAAAGTCTTCCAAGGCTGCATCTCACCTGAGCATCACTGTTAGCACAAGGTGTTTACCCAGTGAGTGGCAGAACCGCAACCTGAAATCAGGTTTTTCAGCTTCTTGTCTGTTACTTTTCCTATGCCTTTCAATGGTGACTACCGCATACATTTTCCAGACACTTCAAAAGTCCTATTTCTGTCTCTTTGGTCCCTTACTGCCTGTAATGGAGGGGTAATCCCTCCTCCATTTCTTCCTTGGTTTTCTCGGTGAGTTGTTTTAGAGTGTAATATGATTCCAATGTCCTTTTCAATAAGCAGCATTTTAATTTATAACAATTATTATGCTACACACCTGCTGCCTAAGTGCCCTCATAAAGTAGATGTTCATGCCCCTATCTGTCCTGTCCAGCTTATGGTTCCCTACTGTTGACATCTTGCTGTCTTCCCTCTATGAGCTTGGGATCCCCTAGCCTGCAGAGTAGGCTGCAAACTTCCTTCCTTCATGTCACCAATGTGATTTTGGTGGGGGTGGGGGAGTGGTGCAAATGTCCAAGTGTTGATTTCTATTTTAATAGTATTTGTGTGTGGGGGGTGGGGGGTGGGGGGGGTGCTGCGGTTTGTACCTAGTGCCTGCCTCCACCCCCTAGTGCTATGAATATGTGTCAAGCACTTATTACATGTTAGACATTTTCAACATTATTGGACAAAGTGGGCTTGACCTATAAAGGCACTTAAAAGTTACTGGTGCTTTTTTCTTTTAAGCACATATAACTTGGTTGGGGAGATGTAAATATTAAATCCCAGCTTTTCTAAAAAATTCTTTAAGACCCCTAATTCTTTACTGACCCAATCACCCAATTTCAAACGACTTAAAAAAAAATCAGTGAATAATATGTGAGGTTGGATCACCATGCCAACGGTAATACTGACGCGTAGGGTAATATTTAAACACTGTAGTACGATTCTCAGCCCTAAAATGCACTCAGGTCCTTTTTAACAAATGCCTTTCTCACTTCCAAACAGTAACCTGCAGCTGGTGATGCCTTCCTCTGGAACCTGAGGTCAAGGGATAAACTCTCTGACCCTAAGCAACTTGAAAGCTACGAGGCCACGAAGGGCGCAGGAACAGGCCCTCATGCAAACGAATGCCCTAGGCAGGTCTGCTCGCCGGTAACGTTCCCGCGCCTCGAAGCGGAGTGGCGGACGCCGGAGGTCTTCAGGGTGGGGAGGAAACCTACCGGCGGCGCGCGGGCGAGCTGTTCCCCCCCACCCCTCCCGCCAGGACGCTGCCCCTTGCAGCCCGTCAGCCTGCTAAATGCATTCCAGAGCTGTGCACAAGACACACTTCTCTAGGTAGTCCTAGAAACCCGAGCCCGGAGAGGAGGAGGGCGGGAGGGAGCGCGCGGCCGTCGCTGAGGTCACAATCGCGCCGTCTCTCCGCCCTCGGCCGCCCGGCTGTTCCCTCCAGCGCACACTTCCCAGGGCCTCGCTCCAGGTCGCTGTAAATGTCTTCTAAACTCGTAGCACTCTCCTCTCCTTTCGAAGGGACCCGTTGCCAGGGCCTTTAAAACAAAATGAATGAATGAATTGCCAGGGCGATCGCCGCGGGGGGCTGTCCGGGTGCGCTCCGGGCTGCATCGGGCCACCGACCAGCTCGTTCCGCTCCAAACTCGCCCGTGAAGCCCGCACGGTGCCCCCAGTTCTTCCGATTCCTCCCTGGCTCCGGCTGGGTCTCTGGCGATCCTGGGACCGTCTGGGCCCCCATCTGCCCCCCGCCCCCACGCCCCCCCATCGGTACCCCTCCGCAGACCTGGGAGAGGGTGGTTTAGCGGAGAGTGGGGGTTGAAATAGCTTTTAGAAACCCGATCTGTTGTTTGCGAAACACAATCGCTTTTTTTTTTTAAAGCGACAGGGTGTCTAGACGGCCACGTGACGAGGCCGGAGCCGGGCGCGCCACTGCGCAGTGGAACCAGCCGAGCTGAGGGCTGGGTGGGGGAGGGCGCGGGGAGGAGGAGGAGGCGGCGGCGGCGGCCTCGGCCGAGCTGGGCTCCGACGCCCCGCTGCCCTACTGGACAGCCGTGTTCGAGTACGAGGCGGCGGGCGAGGACGAGCACGGAGGATTTTGTCCCCAAGCTGCGCCAGCCGAGCCAGCCGGGCGCCTTCGCTCGGTCCGCTCGCCGCGCCGGAGAGATCAGTCCGAGACGGAGCCAGCCTGCCGGCGCCAAGCCGCCAAGCGCTCGGCCCCGGAGCCCGAGAGTGCGGTGCGGCCGGCCCCCGGCGACCGCAAAAGGACTCGAGCGCCAGGAGAGGGCGGACGGGGGACGAGGAGGCTCCCGGGCGCGACGAGGAGATTCTCGGAGGAAGAGGCGGCGAGAGGACACCCGGGCCTCCTGCCGCCACAGCCGGGTCGCGGCCAGCAGCTCATGCGGGGAGTCCCAGCGGCCACCCGCGGCCAGGGGAGAGGGCACCGGCTGCCCCCACATTAGCCAGCCGCCTGTGCCCACCGGGGCGAGAGCTTGGGACCCGCCGGAGCCCGCTGCCGCGCCGCCCTCCCTCCCCCGCGCTGACAGCCCCCCGGGGCGCCGCCGCAGCATCTTCTGCCCCTGCGTACCCAGCGTGAAGGAAGTCCCTGCCGACGACTCGGGCCCCCGGGAGCGCTGGAGGAAAGACCCGAGACTCCTCCAGATCGCCCAGATGCGCGAGAGTGAAGCCGCTTAGCCAAACCTTTCTGTGGATTAAAAGAAATACGATTTTTTTTTTCTTGGCAGAAGAAAAGGAAAGGAAGACCAGCGGGGTTCTGCAAGGAAAAAAAGGGGGATGTAACTCGTGGATACATCTTTTTTCCACCCCTCCTACATCTTGTTCTACTTTGTAAACATTTTCTTTTTTTTAAACCCGGGCTCTAGTAGGACGCCCCCAGACCTCCGAGGTGTGAGGAGGTGGTGGTTTTCATTTGAGGCTTTGCATATTTGGTTTTTTAGGTTTTAGAGAGACCCTCCAGACGTCTCATGCGGGGTGAGGTCTTCTCGGCCCCCTCCCTCGAGTCTTCGCGTGCACGGAATTCGAGGAGATCCGGTTACTAAGGATATAGAGGAAAAAAATAAATCGTGTGCCTGCTTTTTTTTTTTTTTAATTGTCTGCTTCTCCCCACCCCCAAATTAAGTTGCTTAGCAAGGGGGAAAGAGGCTTTTTCCTCCCTTCAGCAACACAGCTAAACGCTTTTCGGTTTTTGCCCCCGCGGATCTTCCATGTAGGAAGCCGAGGCTGGCGAGCCCGACACTCGGGAGCCACTGCAGGGGGGCTTTTTGGGGAGGCGTCGGCCGGGGCAAGCTCGGCTGCCCCCTGGGAAGCGGCGGCCGCGGTCCTCCGGGGCGCGCCGGGGCCCGAGAGCCGCGCAGGGTGCGGGCCGCGCGGGGTGG